ATAGTATTAAAATAGATTTTAAATCCCCTATTTAAACCCTGTTTTGAGCTCAAACTACGTTAAAAACAGACTGAAAATCATTCCAATGTTATGAAGTAGGTTTTAACTATACTTGAAATACATTACAAACAAGAAGCGAAATTTTGGATTTTGTACAAAATAGCACAAAAATACCCTATAGTGACTTCAAAATACTGTTTAAATCGTCAAAATACGTTCAAAACAGTTTAAAATCAGTTTAAAAATACAGCTGTTTTGGTAAGCTATAGCTTACTTACATGTAGTACGAGTATTTCCGCTCTCGCTCGCCTCCAACTTGACACTCGCACGATCAACCTGTTACTGTCCAGAAGAAAATTCAGGTCCTTCAACTTTGTGAACACACTTGTGGTAGACTGCACTTACTTGACGCGGACAGTTTGTCAGGAATACCGTATTTTCTTTTATTTTTTAAAGAAATACTAAGCGGGCATGATAAAAGTAGTGTTAAAACTAGTCTAGATCCTCTGCAAAGTGTTGCTTATAGAAAATAACTGAAAATCGGAGACACTTCTTAAGTGCAACGCTACAGCTGCAACTATCAGTTTTTGTTTAGTTCTAATTAACTGTACTAGTATTCATCTGACTAAGATGGATTTTAAGGAACAATTAACAAGGGATATTTGAAAAAAATTAAGAAAATGTATAGTGACTACTTGCTTCCGAATGGCCCATTCCCCCTTAGCTATGAGATGCGCCTGCAGGTAACCATGGTAGTTGCTTTCATCAAAACAATGATCCAGTCCTAGATGATGAATACAACTATCATGATTCCCTGCACGCACATCTGGGAACTGGCCATTCAGGGTTTATTTTCAAGGCGTTTGAAGGACTATATGCACGACGAAATTTGTTGAGCTACAACATACAGGAAAGAGAAAAATTCTGTCTTCTGCGTAATTACCCTTCCGGCACGATAACCAGAGAACATTTCGAATAGAGCTACTAGTATCAGTATCAACAAATTTCTTTTAACTTGCGTGGTGTAATTAATGCAACTGCACTGCCATGTCAGCTTTTTAACTGCAGATGATAAACGTTATTAAAACATTGCTGTCGGTAAAAGTGTATTTTGTTGTCATTGACAGCGAGGGAAACGGTCAGACCCGATAATGGCGGCTACACAACCTTATCTTCAGTCGATATTTTCGTTTATCCCAATAACATTACATCTTCAGTCGAGATTGCTCCACCGTTCCCTGGCCGCCGTTTCGATATCACGCGATAAAATGATGAGAGCAGTTGGTCCCATTTGGTTGCAAATCTTACAGACTTCTTATTCTGTTTAAAATTACAAAGTGCATATCTGTATTGGGGTTTCAGCGGACTCGTGATCACTGGATCCATTCTTAATGAATTTTACCTTTGACATTATAATCAGATGGTTTGATAAATTTTAAAGCAAAAAATATATTTTTCTCTGATTTTCTCTGATTTTCTCTGGCGTTATTTTCGAGAGCCTTTTTGGAAAATTCAGTAGGCGCTGGAAAATTGATGGCGACTGGTAAAATTGCGCATCCAAACATGACAGGAAAATATGTAACTTCTGAGGTTTCGCCGCATGAAAAACAGCTTTCGTTTGGAAGGCTGCGAAAACAACCACGGTAGACGCTGGGCTCAACGAATGCTGTGCTGCTTCTATGCAGCCCAATCACGAATTGGAACAAGCCTTTTAAGGCACGACTCATTTTCCTGAGGATGTTTCACTCCAGTTTGACTAGTTATATAGCATCGTGCATGAACGGGGCTTGCTAATAACCAAGTAGGGCAATTTGATATGGCAACTTGTAGAGGTCATCAGGATCATCCCGACTCTTGTCCAGTAAGTCCGTAAAAGGATGCCTACGGTTCCGATTCATTTTCGAACAGCCGATAAAAAGCGATGAGTCTGTATGAAATATTTTTCGTGTGTGGCGATCGGTCGATCGAGGAAGAAAAGAGCGAAACAGTCGAATTATTTCAGTGAAAGGTAAGTGACTATTAACGTGACACATTGTCACGCTTGAAGAATCACGCGGAAATACATCTCCTTCGCAGGCTAACTACATTGAGTGATACGTTTTTGTATGGATATGTAGTTTTCATCGTTACCCACTAGCTTATTGAAGTTTGCTAGTCGCTCTCAGCTCTTAGTTTGAAAGTATCACAAGACAGTTGTCCCTTGCTGTAGAGGTCGTCCCTTGTTTTAGTATTAAACGAATCATGCATTACAAATTTCCAAACATTTAGAGTCATCATTTTATCTACGGTGAAAATTAATGTCATAATAAACATATATGCCACTTACGCTGTCCTTTAAAAATTCGATAAGACAAAAGGCAAGAGAGGATTCTTGGCCTGTCCCTCGTGGCATTCAATGATCACAGGCCAGCGCTGATCTCGTTAAACACTTTTAATGCATGTACGCGGTGTCTATGGAAACCCAAATAAGTTCATAGTTCACAAGTTTCCCATAAAATAAACTTTTCGTATAGTTTAGGTTTGATATCTTAAACAATTTATTCCAAGTTTTTATACCTCAACGTGGGATGTTAAATTACGCCGCAATTTTTAAAGTGTAATTATGAAACATTACCTTCAGAAAGGCTATTTACTCGGGTAAGGGAACTCCAAAGAGAAGGTATACAATGAAAAAAAATAGGATGGACGGTTTGGATTGACTAACATTTACGTGCGCAGGATACGAACGACAAACCTGGGCTGTGTGTGAACTGCTCATCATATTAGGGGGATTGGAAGAAAAGCGAAAGAAAGTGATAGTAACGTTTTTTTTTTTTGCCTTGCGCTAGAAATCTGTCATCGGAGTACAAAGCCAAGTACAATTCCAACTTTTCCGTTTTGCAATAGCTATGAAAATGGGTTAAAACATTCAAAGACGCTGTAGTGACGTGCTTGGGCTGAGCAGGCAGATTTTGGAAAACTTGAGCTAAACCGATAGAGATCACAGCGGTAGCTATTAGCACCTTCAGTGCAAGGCAAAAGTGGTGTTTTTTGGCAGCAAATGGGACTAAACTTTGTCAAAGTGCGAATTATGCCATAGACTTCCTGTAATGAAAAAATATATATTCCATTCGTGTGCATAGCATTGAGCATCTTTGATGCATGAGTACTCGCGGAAGTCGATTGAATTTGTCGCACTTTGTTCACCAAATCGTCGATATTTCAAAGAAACCGTCGCTTTTAATTTATATATACATATATCAAGAATTGATTTGCGTACATGATAGCGTCATAGCCATTTGAAAGGGATGTCCAAGTTTTTCAAAGTCCTCGGCAACTACATTGTAATATAGCAAACATTCTACGATGGGCCTTTAGCTTCCTTGCTTCAAGCTATTTTTTCCACGTTGATTTCCTTTCAGTCATTACTGATAATACTGGTAAATACTTTGCAAGAACTTAAATTTCTAAATCGTCGTTTCGTCGGTCGTCGCGACTTCGATTTCATCGGAAATACCCATACAGAGGCCTAGCATTGGTAATCATAATAAATTCCATGAGGTCCATATCGCGCCAGTTTTCGTAGAGGACAAGCCTAAGCTTACTGCTGTCTCAGTTACGTAATTAGTATTTGTCGTTGCCAATACTTCCAAAATGTTGTCTAAGCTTGGCAAGGCCACTCATATTTTACCCGATGATGAATACTAGCAAGTTTTATATTGTTATTTTTGAAGGGAAAGTGTTTAAGGAGCAGAATTCTAGTTAACGGACTATAGCTACAGACGACTTTGTTGTACTGTTCGTTCGCCGGCGTGAAACGGAAGTGAAAGGCATCACTATCAGACGACTTCATTACTGCTGCAGTAAGCAGTTCACCGTTCTGTCCTACTTTTCTTTTATCTGATTCTCCCATATTTACTGAAATACATGTATGGTAGGATGGTACAATCAAATATTGTAATAAAGTAGGGCAGAAACTGCTTACAGTTTCATGAGGTCGTCTGTATGACTGATTGTTTTCGAAACTCAGACTATTATCTTACTAAATCATGAAAACTTCGAGAAAGTTTTCATGATTTCGTACGATACTAGAAAGACCAGGAGAATCTTCAAAGTATATGGCGTACGTAGTGAGGGTCTCACGAAAACAATCAGTCATACGCCTGCAAATAGAAAAGTGGTTTGCACAGGATGCCTGTTAAAATATAAATTTAAAATAGGGATATTCCCAGAATCCCGGTAAACAGATTCCGGCGTCATGTATGTAGTAATAGGCGCTTTCAAAAGGATCTAACCACAAAGCAAAAGGATTGTGGAAGTGCAAAGTGCTGCCGTACCATTATTTGAGGTGAGTTAAGCACACTTAAAGTGCATTCAAAATAAGTGTTTGCAGTTCAATATCTAAAATTTTCTACCACGTCAACGATTTTGCCAACAAAATTAAGGGAGAAGCCGGATTACGGTGCATAAACTGAACAATCGTGAAATGTTACCTTTCCATGCATGCGCTATTCCTTTTTATTTTGCACAAGTGTTGAACTTAGAATGTTCTGAGCTGCGTGGAAACACGACTGATGAAATGGAATACCCTTACAGTGTATTGCATTGCAACCTCTAAATTGGCCCTCTACTCGAAATTGGCCATCGCTACAGAGCTAATAATGCCACGGTTTACCTACAAACTCAGAGGTGGACAGAAGCACAGACCGGAAGTGAAAATTGACAGTAGACAAGAGAGATAATTCTTTGTCTTGTAGTACATGTGGTATGTTTATGTCATTCAAAAGAACTCGACTAAAATCGTTTCCTTTGAGATTCTGAGATATAAGATGTACGTTCAGAAATTACGTACTGGTAGAAAATTTTATATTGCGCTCTGTACAGTATAGGGTTTAAGTTTCCGGTCTTCTTCCTGCTTCTTGTCGATCGGGGTTTACCCGGATATGAAAGGAAAATTCAACACTAATCCACCGGACGTCGTTGTCCCTCCTGTTTTGAAAGTAACATTCTTAATCTACCATATGCAAAGGTATACTGAGAGGAAGTGCTCTGTATTGTGCATGTGAAACCGAGCACAAAAGGCAAATATCTGATGTGGGAAACGCGATCGGGTCAGAAACCAAAACTTCTGTCAATAGGGCTTTTCCTAAATACATTTAGGAGTAGCTTTCGTTTTTAGTTCAAACAACAACTTTATTTTGTAATGTTGGCCTTCACTACCATAATGAGATTGTTGATTCCACCAACATAATATTTGGAACAGAACCCCGTAACCAATTATAAATAGCTGGGATTGCTCTAGTAAGACAGCTGATATCTCATAACCATGGCCAGCTCTTGAAATAAGGTGGCTTGAAAATGGTGTCTTTTTAAGCGCCAAAACTTCTCGATCACTTCCTAGTTGAACCTAATATACTGTCGAGTAGTTATTAATATAAGTCGTCGAAGTATTCCAAACTTGGGTAGCTTGACAGCATCACATCGACTGCCCCTTCGTTCTGTGCTATTCTTATTCATTTTGTTCTGCATATAGTCGGCTTCCAGCCTTTCACCTCCTTCCGCCCATCCAAATAATGCGAGGCCGGGAATGCACCGTTATATTTTTATAGACTTTTATAGAAACGTGACAATACCCCTAAAGGCTCAAAAAGGAATTATTACCATAACAATATAAAACGAAATTTCAGTTTGTCTCCGCTATAAATTTGCACATGCGAAGTACTGAAGTTTAACGAAAGGACTTCGTTTTGATCTGTGTAGGAAAGTCATGGGCTATCAACTAGCAGAAGCTGACAGAGACAAGACTGATCCCAAACACTTATGCACCAAGTGCAACAGTGTGTTAAAGGAACCAGTTCAGACAACGTGTGGGCATCGCTATTGCAAAGAGTGTATCAACTCTATTCTAAGGTATCTCTTGTTTACGTAATCAGTTTTGATGCTTTATCGCTATCTAAAGGGGTTTTGTGAATTATAATCCAAATAATCCAGAGAGACATGAAAGCTAATCAAGCGCAAACTTGAGGGTCTGGATATGGTTTAACTGATGGCTGGGAATTGGAATTTAATTGTTAGCCACGAAACGTCGCTTTTTCAGACAGAAAGCTGAGATCACAGATCTGCAGAATTTACTGATAGCCAAAAAATGGGCTGAAATTTTAACTGATGGCCGAGATTTCAGCACTTCCAGATAGGCCTTCAAACGTGCGCTTGATAGCATTAATATGTTAGCAGGTATTAGCAGGTTCTGAAGTGGTGAATAATTTCATTCTTGGCAATAATTTATACTCTGGCAGCAAGATTCATCGTCATGTACAAGATTCATCCTTTGTCAAGCGACTTTTAAATATAACGTCAGAATAACAGCCAATCCTTCCAAGTCTTACTCTCTATATCTGATTGCCTGTAAGAACCCTTGTTATGTACTCGCTGAACAGTATGGGGGTAACTTGCTCGATGAAAATTCATCTGGAATGTATCCAGAAGCTATGAGAAAGCAGAACAGTATGACATGGATGCCTTCCAAGATGTTCAAGAGTTCAGTGAGATACTTAATTCCCAGGTTTTCAAGAATAAGAACACCAAAAAAGCAAAACATATGGGTAAAACCCGATTTGTTAGATCTGAACGGAGCCCCCATCAGCCAAGAAGTGAGAATATGATCATGCTTTTTAATAGAACATATCACAGAGGTACTTCAATGTGAAAATGAAAATATCAAGGGACCGCAGCCAGGATGAATCATAGTGAAATTTAAACAACAAGCCTTCGACTGCCTAAATGGCAGTTCTTAACAGCTTAAAAATGTTTAAAAACATTTTCACCCGTTGAAGACTACAGTTAAGGCAGTTAAAAGCTTGCGCTTTTTTGAAAAAAAAAAAAAATAGTCAGAGAACTTTTAAAATTTTACTACCTTGAAAATGCTTATCTAAATGTTGCAATTCAAGTCAGATCCGTGGTTGTAGCAGTCCTTAGGCTTGCAGACGAATGCAACTGACATTTTTGAAACAGTTTAAACAGTCATCTACGCTCCTCCTTTGTGGCTCATGAGGAATATATTAATGACAGTTTCCCTTTTTTCCAGGGACTGACAATAAGCGTAGTTTTAATGTGTATATCTGGTTTTGTTGCAGTCAGAAACCATCAGAGAGTGAATGCGTTGCTGATGGAACCATCCTCACGAAAGAAGAAGTAAGTTATTAGAAAACAAAATCTCTCTTTTTCCTCCCTGAAAGTAAAGATGTGGGTGTGAAGGAAAGATGGTCAGACTTTCTGATGCTTAGCCTTCCTCTCTGTGAAGTGCTCTACTTGTTATTATTTTTATAATGTCTATTACAAGTGGCCGTGGACAGATTGAAGTAAACATATGGTGAAATATACGTTGTGGTCCTCCAGTCGATCTGTATACACCGTTGCATGTCATATATGAAAGATAGTTCTAGCGCTAATAATGAAATCCTTTCTCCCGACATTGTAAACAGTTCTGTTGTCATTGTTGTGCTTAATATAAGCTGATGAGTGTTCTTTATAATCTACTTGTGTTCTTCATAATAGCAATCTACGTGCATAAATTGGATAGCGAAATCAGTGATTAGCTCAATAGACAATTTGCAATTGTGTATGATTTAGTTTGTGTAAGATCTTTCAGACTCACGGGCGTATAAATTCGTCATATCAAACTTTGCCTATTGTTATGGTTTAAATTTTTTAAGACAATAAGCCTTTTGTTGTCTGTTTGTAGGGATTTTTCCGTCCTGTTTCGCGAAATTGTAATCGCGCAACATATAAAAAATTGTCGTTGTTCTGAGCGAAATTTTCCTTATCCCAACCAACGGTCGCTGCAATCTTTACAAATACTTCAGCGATGGCAGGGGCTTACAATCCCCCTCCCACACACATGCCTTAAAGATTTATCAACCAACAAGGATTGGAATCCCGCAAAATCGTTTTAAAAAAGGGGGAAAATGACCACTTCTCTGCAAGAAAGGGCCCATCTTCACTTCCCCTTTATTCAGATAGAGTACCTCTGGATCCACCGCTGAGCAGTTTCTAATCCTCTGTGATCTTATATTTTCCTCCTGCTTGCCAAGGTTTTCCCGGATAAATTTGTTGAACGTGAGATCCTTTTACTGGAACTTCATTGTTCTCGTCTTGATAAAGGCTGCCAATGGAAAGGAAAGTTAAAGCATCGTCAGGTATTTGTTCGGCAGTATTTTCGATAACTTTTAATTCCTTGCTTGCACCACATGTTTATCTCAGTAACCACAAGTAGCAAATCTGGATAACTTTGTCTGAAACGACGTTGTCATATCTATAGTTCAAGCTGTACAGTAATCCGGGGAGCAAGGGGCAAGAGGAAATAACCACTAGAAAAGGACATGCAAATAATATATCTTTCAGGAGATGATTACATTTAGCAACTGCCATTCCATGCCTATATATACACTTAAAAGCACAGTCATGCAAAACCGTAGTTACGAGGTGATGTAGTTTCGTGTTATTTTAACTTTGCAGGACCACGAGAATGTCTGTGAATTTGGAGAAATCCATTGCGTTCATCCCAAATGTGGAATTTTGGTGCAAAGATCCGAGCTGGCTAATCATCTTGAAAACAGCTGCAGCTACAGGGAAGAGTTGTGCACTTACTGTGAAAAAAGGATCGTGTTCGTTGATATGACGGTAAATTATTTAGTAATTATTACATTTTTAACGGTGTTCAGTGCACATGCACGTTGAGATCGCTGAAACGATAAGGGAAGTACGCGGTTATGGTTATCAGTTGGGTATAGGAAGTTTAAAGTTTCGCGCTGAACAGTTTTGCAACAGCAAACTGCAGTAAAAATAGTAAAGTCAGTCATTAGTATTCACAAGTCGTCTTTACTGGCAATGCAACTTCCAGGCACTTAACTGCATGTTCATGAAGCTTCCATCCGTCACTGACCTTTTCACTCAAAGATCTCTTACTTATTTTTGATTTTGCATGTTTATTAATACCATTAATGCACATTTAACGGGTGTTTACACACAGAAACCCAACACATATTGTCTTGTAATATGCATTTTCAGGCTCATCACCAGACTGATTGCCCTCAATTTCCAGAGCGCTGTCCGGAATGTGGGAAACAAGATATTCCCCGGAGTCAGGTAAGCGACGACGACTCGTAAATGACTTTCATATTACAAGCAGCCATATGTTTTCAGTGCGGCTTTGTAACTCGTTACCGGCCATGGTGCTTAAGAGGTTCAGTGAGCATAAAAACGAGAAAGAGTACTCCACGGCCAAGATTTATTCGATTCCGCCCGTTTTGCATTTTGTTATACATTTTAGGTAGTAAGTCGCACGTTATGTAAATTTGTGTCTAACTAGGTCTACAACCTCATTATATATCAATATTTTTCCCGACGTTTAACCGTAGAACCCCAAATTAGTATTCCAACAAAGTTACTTGGCTGTTAGTTATTACTGACCAAAGCAACCCTACAATGCAGTCGTTGGGCGATTTGTATACTCAACGCAGTTTGTAATCTTTTAAACTTGACAGATGTTTATTTCTTTCCCAGATATCTACTCACTTGGATCCAGCTGTAGGTGATTGTGAAGAAATCAAAACATTGTGTCCATTTAAGACAGTTGGATGTAAAGAAACTAAGGTAAGAGAAATTCGAGTCTTATTTTGAACACCATATATTTCTTTTTCCTGAGAACCATATCCGGTACTTAGATTCAGTGGAGAGGGTAAAAACGCTATAGCTCCCGTGGAAAGTGACCTGGTTTTGCGCATGCCGTTGACACTAAATTATGATTCCCTCAGTAGAGCCCACTTTGCCTTTCCTCTAGGAAACCGGGAGATTACGGAAAGTGTTAAGCACGGGCGGAATGGGTCGTGCCTTCTTTATATCATCCGTTCTCGTAGATCAGTTTCACTTAAACAAGGCGTCCCTTTGGAAGGGAGATAAACGGTTAGCGGTTGTTTAAAGCCCTTCTTCATAAAGGCACACTCGCGAAGTATATCTCGACAATGCAGTAGCCCGGGAAAATTCAGAACGAAGTAATACAAATTAAAGACACTTTATGTTCACCTATTGAATCTGATTTGTTCCTATCAATTTATTTTTAGGCGATGGCTCTAGATGAAAGAGTGAATCACCTTAAGGAGTGCACGCCAGAACACTTGACTTGTATACTGCAACACGTAAAAGAGCTATCCTTGCTCGTTAACAACACCTTGCATCTTACGTCACTAAACAAAACTAATGGCTCAGTTAATCCAATAGAAAAGCAACTCGAGCAGTCGATGAAGCAAATTGGAGCGGTTTTGGTGGAAACAAAGAGCCTGAAATCAGAAGTAGATCAACAAGATTCTCGAATCAAATCTCTGGAGACCGTTAAAGACCAGTCTACTTTGCCTGTTAGCTCAAGCTGTAGTCAGAAAAATGAGCTGCAAGAAGCGACGAGAAGAATGCATAATCAAGAGGCCAAACTTGCTGATCTTGAGGTATTTGTGATAGAAGGAAACAAAGTTAATGAGGATCTGGAGCGTCAGGTGAACCTGCTAAAGAGAGAGCAAGAAGGTTACAAGGAAACGATTCGAAAATTACAGCGGCATGTCGAATCTTTGGAGCACACATTGAGCATGCGTAATGTGGTGTTAGCTGACTTGGAGGAGCAGGTTAAACAGAAGGAAATCTCCAATTATAATGGTGTTTTGCTTTGGAAAATCTCCGACTTCGCTCGAAAGAAGCAAGAAGCAGTCACAGGAAAGCAAGTTTCCCTTTACAGCCCGTGTTTCTACTCCAGCAGTTATGGATACAAGATGTGCGTGCGCCTGTATTTGAACGGAGATGGCATGGGCCGAGGAACACACATCTCAGTGTTCTTTGTCGTCATGCGCGGTCAGTATGACGCGTTACTCCGCTGGCCATTCAGACAGAAGGTCACGTTCATGTTGCTGGATCAGGATAACGTAGAGCACGTGATCGACGCCTTTAGACCTGATCCAAGCAGCAATTCGTTTCAAAGACCAAAAAGAGAAATGAATATCGCCAGTGGCTGCCCTACCTTCTGCCCTCTGTCGGAGTTGAGCAATTACGCATATGTCCGGGATGACACTATGTTTCTCAAGATCATGATTGATACCGCAGACATTTGATATTTTCTAGGAATTAAAAAAGGACATTGCAGTAAAATAAATACCATATTGCGATACGATACTGCAGAACTCTCATAGCGAAAAGAAGATAGAATTTGAACAATACGCCACCCCATCAATGAAAATATGTAGGAACTGGGAAAATAACATAAAACATAAAAATAACATAAAACTAGCTTCAAGTAGGTAGAACATATTTATAAAGCAAGGTGTATCTAAACATGCAGAATTGTGTGAATTTTGCATATAAATTAGCAAGAGGGGCAACAGACAAGGAAGGAAGTGGATTTTGAACAAGGAGAGTTGTGTCTGTAATAATTACTGCCAGGAGCCAATGCTCCTGTTAGTGCATATTCAAACTATAAACTTGTGCATGCATGAATGATTGTATATGCGGGAGTAAGTTCATATGTATACGAAAATATCATGTCATGGAAATTAAATGTTAAAAATTGTATTAAGGTATGTGTTGCTGTTTCCATTTTTGTCTGGCAATCACGCTTTTTACCACGGTCTTATTACTAGTTATAATAGGTCGGCCAACTTCTGTCGATCCTCAAGTTATGAGACCAGTTTCATACTGATTCTCTTTGTCGATTATCAGTTGTAATAACAGAGCTAGTTGTAATATGTGTTAGTATAGAACCTTTTCATAAATGGCTGGCAATTTAAAATTCTTTTGTACGTATTTAAATTAGCCTCACTAAACTCGTTTGGGAGTAAAAATTCTTTTGAATNTGAGAATATGATCATGCTTTTTAATAGAACATATCACAGAGGTACTTCAATGTGAAAATGAAAATATCAAGGGACCGCAGCCAGGATGAATCATAGTGAAATTTAAACAACAAGCCTTCGACTGCCTAAATGGCAGTTCTTAACAGCTTAAAAATGTTTAAAAACATTTTCACCCGTTGAAGACTACAGTTAAGGCAGTTAAAAGCTTGCGCTTTTTTGAAAAAAAAAAAAAATAGTCAGAGAACTTTTAAAATTTTACTACCTTGAAAATGCTTATCTAAATGTTGCAATTCAAGTCAGATCCGTGGTTGTAGCAGTCCTTAGGCTTGCAGACGAATGCAACTGACATTTTTGAAACAGTTTAAACAGTCATCTACGCTCCTCCTTTGTGGCTCATGAGGAATATATTAATGACAGTTTCCCTTTTTTCCAGGGACTGACAATAAGCGTAGTTTTAATGTGTATATCTGGTTTTGTTGCAGTCAGAAACCATCAGAGAGTGAATGCGTTGCTGATGGAACCATCCTCACGAAAGAAGAAGTAAGTTATTAGAAAACAAAATCTCTCTTTTTCCTCCCTGAAAGTAAAGATGTGGGTGTGAAGGAAAGATGGTCAGACTTTCTGATGCTTAGCCTTCCTCTCTGTGAAGTGCTCTACTTGTTATTATTTTTATAATGTCTATTACAAGTGGCCGTGGACAGATTGAAGTAAACATATGGTGAAATATACGTTGTGGTCCTCCAGTCGATCTGTATACACCGTTGCATGTCATATATGAAAGATAGTTCTAGCGCTAATAATGAAATCCTTTCTCCCGACATTGTAAACAGTTCTGTTGTCATTGTTGTGCTTAATATAAGCTGATGAGTGTTCTTTATAATCTACTTGTGTTCTTCATAATAGCAATCTACGTGCATAAATTGGATAGCGAAATCAGTGATTAGCTCAATAGACAATTTGCAATTGTGTATGATTTAGTTTGTGTAAGATCTTTCAGACTCACGGGCGTATAAATTCGTCATATCAAACTTTGCCTATTGTTATGGTTTAAATTTTTTAAGACAATAAGCCTTTTGTTGTCTGTTTGTAGGGATTTTTCCGTCCTGTTTCGCGAAATTGTAATCGCGCAACATATAAAAAATTGTCGTTGTTCTGAGCGAAATTTTCCTTATCCCAACCAACGGTCGCTGCAATCTTTACAAATACTTCAGCGATGGCAGGGGCTTACAATCCCCCTCCCACACACATGCCTTAAAGATTTATCAACCAACAAGGATTGGAATCCCGCAAAATCGTTTTAAAAAAGGGGGAAAATGACCACTTCTCTGCAAGAAAGGGCCCATCTTCACTTCCCCTTTATTCAGATAGAGTACCTCTGGATCCACCGCTGAGCAGTTTCTAATCCTCTGTGATCTTATATTTTCCTCCTGCTTGCCAAGGTTTTCCCGGATAAATTTGTTGAACGTGAGATCCTTTTACTGGAACTTCATTGTTCTCGTCTTGATAAAGGCTGCCAATGGAAAGGAAAGTTAAAGCATCGTCAGGTATTTGTTCGGCAGTATTTTCGATAACTTTTAATTCCTTGCTTGCACCACATGTTTATCTCAGTAACCACAAGTAGCAAATCTGGATAACTTTGTCTGAAACGACGTTGTCATATCTATAGTTCAAGCTGTACAGTAATCCGGGGAGCAAGGGGCAAGAGGAAATAACCACTAGAAAAGGACATGCAAATAATATATCTTTCAGGAGATGATTACATTTAGCAACTGCCATTCCATGCCTATATATACACTTAAAAGCACAGTCATGCAAAACCGTAGTTACGAGGTGATGTAGTTTCGTGTTATTTTAACTTTGCAGGACCACGAGAATGTCTGTGAATTTGGAGAAATCCATTGCGTTCATCCCAAATGTGGAATTTTGGTGCAAAGATCCGAGCTGGCTAATCATCTTGAAAACAGCTGCAGCTACAGGGAAGAGTTGTGCACTTACTGTGAAAAAAGGATCGTGTTCGTTGATATGACGGTAAATTATTTAGTAATTATTACATTTTTAACGGTGTTCAGTGCACATGCACGTTGAGATCGCTGAAACGATAAGGGAAGTACGCGGTTATGGTTATCAGTTGGGTATAGGAAGTTTAAAGTTTCGCGCTGAACAGTTTTGCAACAGCAAACTGCAGTAAAAATAGTAAAGTCAGTCATTAGTATTCACAAGTCGTCTTTACTGGCAATGCAACTTCCAGGCACTTAACTGCATGTTCATGAAGCTTCCATCCGTCACTGACCTTTTCACTCAAAGATCTCTTACTTATTTTTGATTTTGCATGTTTATTAATACCATTAATGCACATTTAACGGGTGTTTACACACAGAAACCCAACACATATTGTCTTGTAATATGCATTTTCAGGCTCATCACCAGACTGATTGCCCTCAATTTCCAGAGCGCTGTCCGGAATGTGGGAAACAAGATATTCCCCGGAGTCAGGTAAGCGACGACGACTCGTAAATGACTTTCATATTACAAGCAGCCATATGTTTTCAGTGCGGCTTTGTAACTCGTTACCGGCCATGGTGCTTAAGAGGTTCAGTGAGCATAAAAACGAGAAAGAGTACTCCACGGCCAAGATTTATTCGATTCCGCCCGTTTTGCATTTTGTTATACATTTTAGGTAGTAAGTCGCACGTTATGTAAATTTGTGTCTAACTAGGTCTACAACCTCATTATATATCAATATTTTTCCCGACGTTTAACCGTAGAACCCCAAATTAGTATTCCAACAAAGTTACTTGGCTGTTAGTTATTACTGACCAAAGCAACCCTACAATGCAGTCGTTGGGCGATTTGTATACTCAACGCAGTTTGTAATCTTTTAAACTTGACAGATGTTTATTTCTTTCCCAGATATCTACTCACTTGGATCCAGCTGTAGGTGATTGTGAAGAAATCAAAACATTGTGTCCATTTAAGACAGTTGGATGTAAAGAAACTAAGGTAAGAGAAATTCGAGTCTTATTTTGAACACCATATATTTCTTTTTCCTGAGAACCATATCCGGTACTTAGATTCAGTGGAGAGGGTAAAAACGCTATAGCTCCCGTGGAAAGTGACCTGGTTTTGCGCATGCCGTTGACACTAAATTATGATTCCCTCAGTAGAGCCCACTTTGCCTTTCCTCTAGGAAACCGGGAGATTACGGAAAGTGTTAAGCACGGGCGGAATGGGTCGTGCCTTCTTTATATCATCCGTTCTCGTAGATCAGTTTCACTTAAACAAGGCGTCCCTTTGGAAGGGAGATAAACGGTTAGCGGTTGTTTAAAGCCCTTCTTCATAAAGGCACACTCGCGAAGTATATCTCGACAATGCAGTAGCCCGGGAAAATTCAGAACGAAGTAATACAAATTAAAGACACTTTATGTTCACCTATTGAATCTGATTTGTTCCTATCAATTTATTTTTAGGCGATGGCTCTAGATGAAAGAGTGAATCACCTTAAGGAGTGCACGCCAGAACACTTGACTTGTATACTGCAACACGTAAAAGAGCTATCCTTGCTCGTTAACAACACCTTGCATCTTACGTCACTAAACAAAACTAATGGCTCAGTTAATCCAATAGAAAAGCAACTCGAGCAGTCGATGAAGCAAATTGGAGCGGTTTTGGTGGAAACAAAGAGCCTGAAATCAGAAGTAGATCAACAAGATTCTCGAATCAAATCTCTGGAGACCGTTAAAGACCAGTCTACTTTGCCTGTTAGCTCAAGCTGTAGTCAGAAAAATGAGCTGCAAGAAGCGACGAGAAGAATGCATAATCAAGAGGCCAAACTTGCTGATCTTGAGGTATTTGTGATAGAAGGAAACAAAGTTAATGAGGATCTGGAGCGTCAGGTGAACCTGCTAAAGAGAGAGCAAGAAGGTTACAAGGAAACGATTCGAAAATTACAGCGGCATGTCGAATCTTTGGAGCACACATTGAGCATGCGTAATGTGGTGTTAGCTGACTTGGAGGAGCAGGTTAAACAGAAGGAAATCTCCAATTATAATGGTGTTTTGCTTTGGAAAATCTCCGACTTCGCTCGAAAGAAGCAAGAAGCAGTCACAGGAAAGCAAGTTTCCCTTTACAGCCCGTGTTTCTACTCCAGCAGTTATGGATACAAGATGTGCGTGCGCCTGTATTTGAACGGAGATGGCATGGGCCGAGGAACACACATCTCAGTGTTCTTTGTCGTCATGCGCGGTCAGTATGACGCGTTACTCCGCTGGCCATTCAGACAGAAGGTCACGTTCATGTTGCTGGATCAGGATAACGTAGAGCACGTGATCGACGCCTTTAGACCTGATCCAAGCAGCAATTCGTTTCAAAGACCAAAAAGAGAAATGAATATCGCCAGTGGCTGCCCTACCTTCTGCCCTCTGTCGGAGTTGAGCAATTACGCATATGTCCGGGATGACACTATGTTTCTCAAGATCATGATTGATACCGCAGACATTTGATATTTTCTAGGAATTAAAAAAGGACATTGCAGTAAAATAAATACCATATTGCGATACGATACTGCAGAACTCTCATAGCGAAAAGAAGATAGAATTTGAACAATACGCCACCCCATCAATGAAAATATGTAGGAACTGGGAAAATAACATAAAACATAAAAATAACATAAAACTAGCTTCAAGTAGGTAGAACATATTTATAAAGCAAGGTGTATCTAAACATGCAGAATTGTGTGAATTTTGCATATAAATTAGCAAGAGGGGCAACAGACAAGGAAGGAAGTGGATTTTGAACAAGGAGAGTTGTGTCTGTAATAATTACTGCCAGGAGCCAATGCTCCTGTTAGTGCATATTCAAACTATAAACTTGTGCATGCATGAATGATTGTATATGCGGGAGTAAGTTCATATGTATACGAAAATATCATGTCATGGAAATTAAATGTTAAAAATTGTATTAAGGTATGTGTTGCTGTTTCCATTTTTGTCTGGCAATCACGCTTTTTACCACGGTCTTATTACTAGTTATAATAGGTCGGCCAACTTCTGTCGATCCTCAAGTTATGAGACCAGTTTCATACTGATTCTCTTTGTCGATTATCAGTTGTAATAACAGAGCTAGTTGTAATATGTGTTAGTATAGAACCTTTTCATAAATGGCTGGCAATTTAAAATTCTTTTGTACGTATTTAAATTAGCCTCACTAAACTCGTTTGGGAGTAAAAATTCTTTTGAATTATCAACTCAAGAACGAGGTTAGCCAGGCTAATTTTAATATTTACAAAAGAATTTATAATTGGCAGCCATTTATGAAAAGGGTCTATATACCACACAAGTGAATAGTGCTTTTCGCGCGCTCTGATTGGTTAACTCCGAGGTGATTAGCAAGTACTATTCACCTCCGAGCAGCCGGCGCGAGAGATTTTAAAATTTCTGACCGCCTTGTCACACATAAAATAAAGTTTTGGTCTGCTAATTATTCAGCTTGTGTGGTATATACTAAAACTTACAGTTATTCACCTTAGTGTCGGTGAAAGTGATGGATATTTACCTCCATTTCGGTGAATAATTGTTAATTATTTAGCTACGGGCCAAAGAGAAACTGAATTTTACAGAACGCGCGCGGCAAGACGAGGGCAATAAACGGGAGTGAACTTTCTTAGCCCTCGATATTCGGAAGCCCCACCTAAGTGAGCTGCACCCCTAAGGAGTCATCTGACTAAACACGTGATCAGTAAAACCTTGGTGGTTCAGATGATCAATTGTTTAGCACTCCTCTGTGAACATGACTTGCTATATATCACATTAAGACCAAAATTCGATATTAATAAAAGTTAATGATGCATAATCAGATGCGAGTGAAAATCACATGACGTCACGTGATGGCTATTCATGTGATAGTCATTGCATAGTTTGACGCAAGATGTACTCGCAAAAACATTCTCAGACAGAACATAATGCACCATATCTTATAGAGTCACATACAGTAAGAACGACGGAAGAATTGGATAATTTTTTTTGGTGAGTGTTTTTTTTTATTGTCTCGGAATAGTTATTTCATTGAACGTTACATCCATCATGTACAGTATGAAATGTTGTGATGCATTTTATGTACTAGTTACCGCGTTCCAAACGTTCGCAAAACTCGATCTCCATCAAGACTGTGTTAGTAATTTAGCGAACTTTAACTCGGATGCTCTCCTTCCTAAAAATTTAACCTAGCACTTGGGGGAGTTATGCAGGTGCGTGACAATTTAAGATTTTAGTACGTTGCAAAAGGGTCATTCGTCAGCTTTAAAACGCAGAAAAAGATGAAAGTCGCAACCTGAATATGGTTTTTAATAATGCGTAAAATCTTGGTAGCTATAGTCTGTCGTCGTGCGTGGGTATACTGACCATTTTAGTAAAAAGGCTCGATTTTATCGTTGATGTCGCTACCGGGCTCGATGAAAACTTTGCATGCTGCTGTTCGGGAAAGGAGCTGACGGCCCGAGAGAGCGTAGGAGATTAATCCTAATCTCAGTATGAAATCAGAATTAAAACGCCTTCATGGATAAACCTGAAGTAGAAATGTTTGCTTACCCAGGTTCCTTTCTGACTTTAAATAATACATTTACAATAATTACATAAAATAATAATAATAATAATAATAATAATAATAACAATAATAATAATAATAATAGTAATAGTAATAGCAATAGTAATAGTAATAGTAATAGTAATAGTAATAGTAATAGTAATAGTAATAGTAATAGTAATAGTAATAGTAATAGTAA